GTACTTAGCCTCACTCTTACTGAGTTTGCGGCTAATGTACAGCACCGGCCGTTCCGCTCCTGCCACCTCCTGGGAGAGAACCGCCCCCAGACCCCGATCGGATGCGTCCGTCTGTAAAATAAAGGGGAGAGCAAAATCAGGAGCGTGCAATAGCGGCCCCCCGCAAAGTATAGATTTTACCTTTGAGAAGGCCTGTTGGCACTGCTCCGACCATTGGACGGTATCCGGTCCCTCCTTTTTAGTGAGATCGGTCAATGAGCTGACAAGGGCCGAATAATTAGGGACAAAACGCCTATAATATCCTGCCAGCCCCAAAAACTGTCTCACCTCCTTTTTGGTCTTAGGTCTCGGACAGGTTGCAATAGCTGCAGTCTTATCAATTTGGGGCTGCACCTGCCCGTGACCTAAGTGGAAGCCCAGATACCTTACCTCCACTCGCCCAATTGCGCACTTCCGTGGGTTGGCCGTGAGCCCGGCCCGTCTCAGCGCTGACAATACCGCCCTCAAATGTTGCATATGCCGCTGCCAGTCATTACTGTAAATGATGATGTCATCTAAATAAGCAGCGGCATATGCTGCGTGAGGGCCGAGTATTTTATCCATCAGGCGCTGAAACGTCGCCGGTGCCCCAAACAGCCCGAACGGAAGCGTCACAAATTGGTGTAATCCGAACGGCGTAGTGAAGGCTGTTTTTTCGCGGGATATTGGAGATAAGGGGATCTGCCAATATCCCTTCGTTAAATCCAATGTCGAGTAATACCGAGCAGCACCTAACCGGTCGAGCAACTCGTCAATAAGCGGCATTGGATAGGCGTCGAATTTCGACACAGCATTCACCTTGCGATAATCCACACAGAACCGGACCGAGCCGTCCGTCTTAGGTACCAAGACAATCGGGCTGGCCCAGTCGCTGTGGGATTCTTCTACTACTCCCATTTTCAACATATTACTCAATTCTTCCTGAATCACTTTTTTCTTGTGTTCAGGCAGGCGATACGGCCGGGTCCTAACGACCACGCCCGGTTCGGTCTCGATGTGGTGCTGAATTAAATTAGTTCGACCGGGTAGGGGTGAGAACACGTCAGAATACTCTCGTTGAAGGTGTCGGATATCGATGAGCTGGCTAGCCGAGAGATGATCGCCCCCAATGACCAGAGCGCCCGGCCGCTGTCGGCCGGTGCTCTCTGGCCCCAGGTCATCCTCAGTTGTAACCAGCGTAGCCAGCATCACCTCCTCCGGCTCCCTCCACTGTTTTAACAGATTAATATGATATATTTGACGTGAACCAGCCCTATCCGAACGAACTACCTCATAATCGAGATCGCTGACTCGTCGTGTGACCACAAACGGCCCTTGCCACTTGGCGAGTAATTTAGAGCTGGAAGTGGGTAGCAGTACAAGTACTTTATCTCCCTGTGAAAATTTACGGAGTTTAGTGCCCTTATCATATCGCCGGCGTTGGTCATCCTGGGCCTTAAGCAAATTCTCTGTAGAGAGCTGCCCCAGTGTGTGGAGTTTTGCTCTAAGGTCCAGAATATATTGAATTTCATTTTTACTATTAGAAGGCTCGTCCTCCCAAGCCTCTCTAACAACATCCAAAACCCCTCTGGGCTGTCTGCCATAGAGAAGCTCGAAGGGGGAAAACCCCGTGGAGGCTTGGGGAACCTCCCGCACAGCGAATAATAAGGGCTCCAACCACTTATCCCAATTTTTCGCGTCCTCGTGAACGAATTTACGGATCATTGATTTAAGCGTGAGATTAAATCTTTCCACCAGCCCGTCTGTTTGTGGGTGATAGACGCTGGTGCGAATAGATTTAATGCCCAATAATCCGTAAAGCTCGCGCATCGTGCGTGACATGAACGCGGTGCCTTGATCAGTGAGAATCTCCTTGGGATTCCCACACGGGAGATGAGGCGAAACAGCGCCTCCGCAACGCTCTTTGCTGAGATATTACGGAGCGCGACTGCTTCCGGGTATCGGGTTGCATAATCCACCAGAACTAATGCAAACCGATGCCCGCGTGCGGATCGCTCTAATGGCCCGATGAGATCCATACCAATTCTCTCGAAGGGGATCTCCATAATCGGTGAAGGGCGCAACGGCGCTTTTGGGGTGGCCGGCGGATTTACCAGCTGACATTCACTGCACGCAGCGCACCATCTGCTGACGTCACCGTGAATGCCCGGCCAAAAGAATCGGGTCATGAGGCGATTTAGTGTGGCCGCCTGACCTAAATGTCCGGCCATAGGATTAGAATGAGCCGCCTGAAAAAGCATTTCCCGGCGGCTCTTTGGTACTAATAACTGGGTTGTATTTTCTTTTGTCTGAGTGTCTTGGGTCACTCGATACACCCTATCATTAATACAGAGTATCTTTCGAGTGCATGTTTTAGTGTATCATCACGCGACTGCTCAAGGGGAAAGTCTTTACACCGGGAAATTCCCAGCCCTTCCCCTGAGTCAGCGCGTGACGTCACTGCTTGGGATTCCCCCAGCTGAGCGTCACGTCCCCTATCCAGCGATTTCTTCTTCCAAGAAGCACCCGCACATAAAACTCCCAATAATCTATTAAATCCAGGCCAATTAGTTCCCAGAATTAGCGGGTGTTTGAGGTGCGGGTTAACTGCTACCTCTACTCTATGCTTTTTCCCCCGGAATTGAATGTCTATTGCCGTTAGCGGGTAGTGAATTATATCCCCGTGCACACACCTTACCCTTACCGTGTGGCTAGTATCCAATGCCGGGTCTTGAAGCAGGCTTTGGTGGATGGAGGTCTGGTTACACCCCGAATCCACCAAAGCTTGATACGTACCCCCTTTCATACTCACAGGTATCCGGTATAGCCCTTCGCGACCGGGGGCGATGACTGGCGCGGCGGGTACGCGGATCAACGCACTCACCTCCTTTGCGGAGCAACTTTTTAGTGCGCTATCCTCGCACCCGCGGCGCCAATGCATCGGCCCAGACCTTCCCACTATACCCCCGGGGCCAGCAGGACCAACCGATTGAACCGGAGAGAGACCTGACGCTGTTTTAGAAGCAGCCAGGGGTCGAAACTCCGCCCCTCCGTCCTGATAGGCGCACCCCTTCAGCGAGACCGGCTGCGGACCCGCCTTTGCGCACTGCTGTCTGGGTGCTGGTGTGGGCGGTCTCCGCACTCTGGGCCTGGGAACAGGACGGGAGAGAGAGAGAGACAGAGAAAGAGGGGGAGAAGAGAGAGAGGTTATCTCGCCGACCCTGGACCTCGCCACCAGGTGATCCTCCGCCAGCTGGATGGCCATTTCCAGATCGTTCGGCCGGTGGCACTGGACCCACTCCGATGTTCGGGAGGGGAGGCGGGCGATGAACTGCTCCAGCACCACGGCATCCATCAGCTGGGCTGTAGTTCGGCCATCCTGCACCAGCCATCTGCGGCAGGCGTCACGGAGCTGCTGAGCGAACACAAAGGGCCGGCCGTTTTCCTCCAGCTCCATGGAGCGAAAGCGCTGGCGTTGCTCTTCCGGGTTGCGGCCGGCCCGCTGGATAATGGCTCGCTTTAGGTGAGCGTACACCAGGAGATTCCGAGCCGGTAGCTGCTGTGCGGCGATCTGTGCTTCTCCCGACAGCAGCGGGATGACTCGTTCCGGCCACTCGGCCCGCGGCCAGCCACACGCCTCCGCTAACCTCTCGAAGAGGTCCAAAAACACTTCCGGATCGTCCTCCGGTGCCATCTTCTGTAGCGAGATGGGAGGGTGGGCGGCAGATGTCGGAGCGGGCCGGATCTCCTGGTTCAGCAGACTCCGGATTAGCTCGCGGTCCTCCCGCTGGGCCTCTACGAGGACTTGGAAGCGTCGTTCCAGATTTTCCCTCAGCTCCACCAGCGCATGATGTTGTTGTTGGTGGAGGACCGTGAGCGCCTGGATGACTTCCGCACATGGATTAGTAGAAGGAGTAGACATTCTGGCAGCGAAGTTTCTTCTTCTTCCCGGGTTTCGGCACCACTGTAATAATGTTCGTTGTTGAGGGAAGAAGAAGACAGGGTCGGCGATTCAGGTAAGCAAATATTTTATTTATTATTTAATGCCACCACACAGGTAACGGTGTATGTGTGTGTGTGTGTGCTCTCTCCTCTCTCGGCTGCGCCTTCTCTTCTCCTTAAGAAGGGTGTCTCTCCGGCTCAATCACTAGAATAAACAGGTGTTATTTATTATTTCTGATTGGCCTGCTGATTAGCCGCCGGGCTCTGAGCATGCTCTCCCCCCTCATTGGGTGTTTGATCATGCTTACCTCTCCACAACAACATTTAAGATGTTCTGCAGTGTGCTCAGTCTGCTGGTTTGTCCATTTACACACATTTTCATCATCATCTCTAACAAACTTTTTTTTAATGTACATACTGTAATTTGTTAAGTGCACTTCGTAGTTTATGTGCATCTTATCAAATAAAAGTTTAACCTACTCAGTTAGGCACATGTTTTATTATGTGTATTTTCAAAAGTTAAGTGAATCATGACGTTTCCATCAATATTTTTTATGCACATCTCCAAAATGAGCTCTAAAATAGGTGTGTGGAAATGTAAGACTAATGCGAGAAATACCGCTTCATCTTTAAAAAGGGGAGGAGACCAACAGAAACTCAGAGTTTAGAGGATAAAACCTGCTCCGGACCAGGTTAGATTCACAGAGTAAGTTACCACGGTAACTGACTCTGAGTTAAAGTTACCTCTCTTTCAGAAACAGTCTTGACTTACCCTGCTTTCTCGAGTTTAACAAACCTGCGATTTTGAAACGGAAAACCCAGAGTTTCTCTCATTTCAGGGTTAAACTACTCTGAGTTTTCACTTAACCTGCTGTCTGAAACAGGCCCCAGATCATCATATACATATTGTGTTTGTCCTCTACACAGGTTACAGTGCTGTAAACTTACTGTTCAGTGCTGTGAGAGTTTGTCTTCAGTTCTACAATCCTCAAACTGTGTGCTGAGAGAGCTGGACCTGAGTAACAATGACCTGCAGGATTCAGGAGTGAAGAAGCTCTCTGATGGACTGAAGAGTCAACACTGTAAACTGGAGACACTGAGGTCTGAGTTTAAACACCTGATTGATTGATTGATTGATTGATTGATTGATTGATTGATTGATTGTTTGATTGATTTTTTTGTTTTGTTACATCAGACAGATCACATTAACAGTGTGGTTTTAGTAATGTGTGCTGTTTCTCAGATTGGTGACATGTAAACTCACTGCCGATTCTTGTGAGAGTTTGTCTTCAGCTCTACAATCCTCAAACTGTGTGCTGAGAGAGCTGGACCTGAGTATCAATGACCTGCAGGATTCAGGAGTGAAGAAGCTCTCTGATGGACTGAAGAGTCAACACTGTAAACTGGACACACTGAGGTCTGAGTTTAAACACTTGATTGATTGATTGATTGATTGATTGATTGATTTTTTTGTTTTGTTACATCAGACAGATCACATTAACAGTGTGGTTTTAGTAATGTTTGCTGTTTCTCAGATTGGTGACATGTAAACTCACTGCCGATTCTTGTGAGAGTTTGTCTTCAGCTCTACAATCCTCAAACTGTGTGCTGAGAGAGCTGGACCTGAGTATCAATGACCTGCAGGATTCAGGAGTGAAGAAGCTCTCTGATGGACTGAAGAGTCAACACTGTAAACTGGAGACACTGAGGTAAATGATTCTCCACTCTACAATAACTACAGTCAGACAGTTTCATATTAGAGCTCTTCATGCTTGAACATGTTAACCCTGGGTGATACTAAACCGCAGATAACAGGAATTATGGTTCATCAGTAATTCTGTTTCACACTGCTCATACTATACCTGTAGTTAACCCTCAGGGGTCTGAGGAGATTTTGGGACCCCTGAGATGTTTTGTCATGCCCTGACATCTGTGCTGATTTCAGCTACTTATTACACAGAACTGGCCAACATGGGTTTTATTTGTGTTCAGCACAAACTGAGCTACAATAATATGTGAGAAATATTGATGTACATGCTTGTGTTTTTTAGAAAACAAATATTATGTGTGGTTAGTAGATTTTAGAGGGAAAAAAACAGACTGAATGTGCCTGAACAAGAGTTTAGAGTAAGCAGTCTTGTAGACTAGATATTTACTGCACAATTATGTTAAATTATTCTGTTCTCTCATTCAGAGAAAACATTACAATGATCTACATTTTGTTAAGTTTGTTTTGGCTGATCTCAGCTGTATGTGTGAGTGACAATGCTCATGAATAATTCACACCTGAGAGACAACAGACACTCCACCACTCACCCATCAAGGGCAGTGTACAGCAATGTCCATCTGCAGAAGCTAGCCCAAACTCAATGCTTGCTGTATTACTGCTGTGTGACCATGTAAACACTCTGGGTGAACAATATACAGTGCTCAGCATATATAAGTACAGCCCTCACTAATCTCTCTTTTACATTCATATTTTAATAGGAAGCTCTACAGTATTATATTTGTTATATTATATCAGTGTTAATCCTGTTTCAGAGCAGAACAGTGGATCTGGAGGTGTGAAAGCAGCAGAGTTAAACGCTAAAGTCAAGCTGTTTTGTGTCCTGCTGAAGGTTTGAGCTGCTCTCATATTTGTGCAGTTTCAGTTTCTTGAAAACAGATAAAAGTCTCATGATAAAGTGTGTAAAATAATCCTGATTACTCGCTCATCTAAAACAATATCTGGTAAAGGCTGAATGTGAAGGAGAGTCAGCAGTCATGAATATTGATCAGCTGTTTCTCTCCTGACAGAATAAAAGTCCCCTAATGGACCATCAGTGTGAATGTGTCTGTGGGTCAGGTGATGAACACATGAAGAGAGCGGCTTTGTGTTTGTCTGAGCTCATTTTGTTTTAGTCCACAACAGAATCACAATATAAATGATGAAATCAGCTCATTTCCTGTTGTGTTTTATACATGACTTTAAGATGATCTTCTGAGCTCAAGTGTGTCTTCTTCCTCCTCACAGCAGACTTTACAGCTTGATGTGATGTATTATGAACAATGTCTTTGCTCTGTACACTTCTACAGATGATGTCGAGTCCTTGTTGAGTGTGTGAGTGTGTGTGTGCTGATGCGAGGGCTCGATCAATAAGGAGAGCTGATCAGGATGTGTGTGTTCATCACTGCTGTTGACATGAGCAGAAACAGCAGTCAGCATCTTCACAACACAAAGAGATGTGTGATTGTCCAACTGTGTGATGTGGACTATTGCTGTGTTTGTAGATTGTCTGGCTGTATGGTGACAGAGAAAGGCTGTGGTTTTCTGTCTTCAGCTCTGACTTCAAACCCCTCACACCTGAGAGAGCTGGATCTGAGCTACAATCATCCAGGAGATTCAGGAGTCAAGCTGCTCTCTGAACAACTGGAGGATCCAAACTACACACTGGACAAACTCAAGTATGTGGAGCAGCACTGCCTTTTTTATTGTGTATACAGATACTTTGATACTTCACTGCTCTTCTAGTGTCCAGATATGAATCAAAGCTGTTAAATATGTCAGTGCACTGGGGCAGTTCTCACATTAACCGTGATATTATATCTCATATTAACACTGTACAGTTTCAGCATTGTAGTTGAGCAGTGAAACTTGTTCTCTACATTTCTGCTGAAGAACTGTACAGTATCAGGTCAGAGATGTGTGTGTGCTGTTCTCCAAATACGTCCTGTGTATACTTTAACAGCAAGTTAAACTCTCCCTCATTAACTTCACAGACACAGAATGTCCTTTATCACACTTTAATAAGGGCGGAGTAAAACTATAAACAGGAAGAAAATAAACAATATCAATTTATATTCACAATGTGGACATAACAAAGATGTTTCTGGCAAATATCTCACATATCTTGTAATCTGGCTCTTTTCTGCTTCTAAACTAACATGAACACAAAATATCAGGCGATAAAAGTGATCAGCAGACAGTGATGCTGGTTCTGATATAGTCCAGTGACAATCACATGTTGAACAAACTCAAATAAAGCAAATGACAAAAAACTCCTAAACTAATCCTTTATAACTGAAGTATTATGAAAAATAAACATAACAAAAAACGACGAAGCTTCCAAAGGGCGAGGAGGACTGCAGATTGGTCTGGATTCACTGCTCTCCAACTTAGCAATGTTTGGAGATGATGAAGAGGCATTTGACAGAAGATGAAGTTCTACCAGAAAGACTCTAGGAGGCAGATAAACGTTTGAACATTTATTGTGAATTGTTTGCATGAATGAGAGTTCGTTACAGTCCTTTCATAAAGTTCTTTGGCGTAAGCCCCGTCTATAGTGCAGAACTCTGGATGAGCTGGCAGATCCTGCCTGAAGATGAAGGCAGGGCGAAGCCAACCCCCTGAGTGGAGACGAGGCCAACCTGGTGGTGGTGGTGATGGGGAGGATGGAGGGAAACTTCCGCAACGTCACCTGAATACAGCGAAACAGATTGTTTAGATGAGCTTTTATACATGGCTTGCTTGGTTGTAATAGGCTGACGAGATAATTATTATGAATGACGTGACATCTCAGTCTTCCTGGTAGAACCTTCGCTAAAGCTTTCATTTCTACCAGAAAGACTCTAGGAGGCAGATAAACGTTTGAACATTTATTGTGAATTGTTTGCATGAATGAGAGTTCGTTACAGTCCTTTCATAAAGTTCTTTGGCGTAAGCCCCGTCTATAGTGCAGAACTCTGGATGAGCTGGCAGATCCTGCCTGAAGATGAAGGCAGGGCGAAGCCAACCCCAAAAAGGCAAAACTGTATGGTTCAGTTTTGTAGCAATCCTAAAACAGAATGACAATAGATGAGATATCTTACATTGTATATTCATGCAAATCGCTCAAGGTAAAATGGAGATTAAATAGTGCCCTGACGGGCAGAGAGGTATATAAGAGATCCAATATGAAGATAAAACGAAGCACGCGATTAGGCTAGTAGATGCTAGAAGCCCTAATGAAGATAAGAGAGAGAGAGCATACCCCGCCGGGTAGAGGAGAGAGCATGCCCTGACAAGCATAAGAGAGAGAGTGTGCCCCGACGAGCAGAGGAGGGAGAGAGAGAGAGAGAGAGAGAGAGAGAGAGAGAGAGATTGCCCCGATGGGCAGAAAAGAAGAAGCGTTCCCCGACAAGCAGACGAGAGAGTGCCCAGACAGGCAGAGGAGAGAGCGCATGCCCCGACATGCCAAGGAGGGAGAGAGAGAGAGCCCCAACAGGCAGAAAAAAGCATGCCCGATGGGCAGAGGGGGAAGAGAAAGAGCCCCGCCGGGCAGAGGAGAGAGAGAGTGCCCCGCCGGGTAGAGGAGAGAGAGAGTGCCCCGCCGGGCAGAGGAGAGAGAGAGTGCCCCGACGAGCAGAGGAGAGAGAGAGAGAGAGTGCCCCGACGAGCAGAGGAGAGAGAGAGTGCCCCGACGAGCAAAGGAGAGAGAGAGAGAGAGAGAGTGCCCCGACGAGCAGAGGAGAGAGAGAGAGAGAGTGCCCCGCCGGGCAGAGGAGAGAGAGAGTGCCCCGCCGGGCAGAGGAGAGAGAGAGAGAGAGTGCCCCGACGAGCAGAGGAGAGAGAGAGAGAGAGTGCCCCGACGAGCAGAGGAGAGAGAGAGAGAGCCCCGACGAGCAGAGGAGAGAGAGAGAGAGTGCCCCGACGAGCAGAGGAGAGAGAGAGAGTGCCCCGACGAGCATAGGGGGAGAGAGAGAGAGAGAGCCCCTACGGCAGAGGAGAGAGAGGTTGACTCGACCAGCAGAGGAGAGAAAGATTGCCCCGACGGGTAGAGGAAGGAGAGCGTGCCCCGACGGGCCGAAGACATTGAGAGCGTGCCCCGATGGGCCGAAGACATTGAGAGCATGCCCTGACGGGCCGAAGACATCCGGAGTGTTCCCCCACGGGTCGAAGACATTCGGACCGTACTCACACTAGGTACAGTTGCCTTGAACTGGGCCAAAGCACGATTGACCCCCTTCCCGTCTCTCCTGACAGCCCGCACTCACACCACGAACGGGCCTCGGAACACTTACGTCATCGCTGCTGCGCTGTTCAGTGAGAAGCGCTCTCACTCAGCCACACAGAGGAGATTTCTCTAGTTATATTGTGTCAGTCGTTTGATATGCAGTGACATGCAGTCAAATATTTCACCAAACAGTCCTTAGGGATGCGGTGACACGCAGTCAGATATTTTGCCAAACAGATCCGCCACTTTTGGCGCTCAGAAACAATCATAAAGCTCTCGTGCTGCTGCTGCAGGAATGAGGAGGTCTGCTGAAGGTGCAGAGCTGTCGTGCAGTGAGAAGTTTGCGTCTTTAATAAATCTACTGCAGTTTGCGTTCACTGAACAGTAAGATTGAATAATAAATCCATATGAAACAATCACTTAAAAGTCGCGTCTCGCTTTCAGTTTCTGGCTTTGGCGCGTTTCACACTCACACACAAGCGTACCGCGCCAAAGCCCAATGAACCGCGCTCAGGCCCACCTCTTCCAACCGGGCCAGGGCCGGCCAAGTGAACCGTGCTTGAAGCAGATTCAGCGCACTCACACTTTTCGAACTATCCGGAAATGGGCCTGGGCACGGTACGGATGGCGTAGTGTGAGTAGGCCCTCAGAGCGTGCCCCGACGGGCCGAAGACATTGAGAGCGTGCCCCGACGGGCCGAAGACATTGTGAGAAGGA